AAAGTTTCAAACCTCCTGGGGGCCTCCCCGGAAAGAGGTTAGATAGTTTAGATAGTTCAGGGGCTTCCTGAACTATCTAAACTATCTAAACTATCTAACCTCTGGCTGGGGACGACCCAGAGGGAATTGAAACTTTCTAAACTATCTAAACTATCTAAACTATCTAACCTCCATTTTTCCCAAATCGAGGTTAGATAGTTTAGATAGTTTAGGGGCTCGTCTAAACTACACAAACTATCTAAACTATCTAAACTATCTAACATCCTTTTCTCCCACAATCGAGGCTAGATAGTTTAAATAGTTTAGATAGTTTAGAAAGTTTCTAATCTCCTGGGGGCCTCCCCGGAAAGAGGTTAGATAGTTTAGATAGTTTAGATACAGGGGCTTCCTGAACTATCTAAACTATCTAAACTATCTAACCTCTGGCTGGGGACGACCCAGAGGGAATTGAAACTTTCTAAACTATCTAAACTATCTAAACTATCTAAACTATCTAAACCTAACCTCTTTTCTCCCAAAATCGAGGTTAGATAGTTTAGATAGTTTAGGGGCTCGTCTAAACTATCTAAACTATCTAAACTATCTAAACTATCTAACCTCCTTTTCTCCCAAAATCGAGGTTAGATAGTTTAGATAGTTTAGATAGTTTAGATAGTTTAGAAAGTTTAGAAAGTTTCAAACCTCCTGGGGGCCTCCCCGGAAAGAGGTTAGATAGTTTAGATAGTTTAGATAGTTCAGGGGCTTCCTGAACTATCTAAACTATCTAAACTATCTAACCTCTGGCTGGGGACGGCCCAGAGGGAATTGAAACTTTCTAAACTATCTAAACTATCTAACCTCCTGTTTTTCCCAAAATCGAGGTTAGATAGTTTAGATAGTTTAGGGGCTCGTCTAAACTATCTAAACTATTTAAACTATCTAACCTCCTTTTCTCCCAAAATCGAGGTTAGATAGTTTAGATAGTTTAGATAGTTTAGATAGTTTAGAAAGTTTCAAACCTCCTGGGAGCCTCCCCGGAAAGAGGTTAGATAGTTTAGATAGTTTAGATAGTTCAGGGGCTTCCTGAACTATCTAAACTATCTAAACTATCTAACCTCTGGCTGGGGACGACCCAGAGGGAAGTGAAGCTTTCTAAACTATCTAAACTATCTAAACTATCTAACCTCCTTTTTTCCCAAAATCGAGGTTAGATAGTTTAGATAGTTTAGGGGCTCGTCTAAACTATCTAAACTATCTAAACTATCTAACCTCCTTTTTTCCCAAAATCGAGGTTAGATAGTTTAGATAGTTCAGGGGCTTCCTGAACTATCTAAACTATCTAAACTATTTAACCTCCTTCTCCAAGAAAGGAAAGTAATCACATAGTTCCTAAAGGTCCCTCTTACATATATATATATATATATGTTTTTTTTTTTTTTGTTGGGGGGGGGGGGGTTGGTCTAAACGGAGCCCAGCACAGTTTTGCTCTCCGGCTGTGCGCGTAACAGGGAGCCGACAGCCCTCACAAGATATGGTCTACCTGGGACTCTAGATACCCACAACTTACTGGCCCAAAAACCCAGGAAACAAAAGTTGAAACTTTCAGAATAAACTACCTCATAAGAAGCCCAAAACTTGAAAAGTTGGGTTTTGAGCCAGTAAGACAACTACTCCTTGATTAGTAGGCATAACCCATAAAACTGCACGTAAAGAGCGTCCCAGGTATGATTAAAACTGGGGGGGGTTTCCGTGCCGCTTGAAGACACTTCCGGGTGTCAAGGGGCTGATGATCCAGCGTTGCTGCTGGATCTGTGCTGGCAGCATGGTGGTTTCCGAAATTCGGTCACCCTATTGGGTCCTTCTTATAAGGGAATCCTACTATTGGGGGGGGGGGGTGTCTATTTTAAGGGCCCCCTATTTTCGTAAACCCAACATTGCGAAGCATCAGGTATACAAGTCCGGCCGGCAGGGTGCTCAGTTCTCAGGCACCCAGTCAAGAATCTTCTGGATCCATGCGCCTTCTGTCATGCCCTTGGTTGCGCAGAAGGTGTTTATCGGGTGATGTGAAGTCGGTGCTATGGATAAGTTATCTTAGACCTGCCCTTCGGTCAGCGAGGAGTACCTGTAGTTGTGTAGGCTCCTGTTCCCTGCGTGCAGCAAGGGTCCTTTCGCTCTCCATTTCCCAGAGAGTGGCCGCTCACCCAGAAGAAGTCCCGACCGATGTCTGGGCATTGGCCGCCGGCCATATACTCTCCTGCCAAGCAAAACCCGAAACCCTTCAAAAAACCCAGCAAACCTCCGAAAGACCCGAAAAAACCTATCTAAGCCCCAAAACCTGTCTTCAGCCTCCCTAAAGCCTTGATATCCCACCCCAAAACCCTAAACTCAATGAGTCGAAGCCTGAGGTCGATAATAGGGTTCTTAAGGGGGGGGGGCTCCCCAAGCTTCCCCCGCCAGCCCTAAACCCTAAACCCTAAGCCCTATAAACCTTCAAGCAACCAGCAACCTCCCAATGCTCCGCTCCTGGAAAGTAGATAGTGCCGGGGTTCCCCATGGCTGCCCACAAGCAATAGGTGCTGCTTGCCTAGGGTTTAGGGTTTAGGGTAAGGGTTCAGGGCTCAAGGGCCCCTCCGAATACGGGGGTTTCCGAAACTGTAGGTACCCTTTGTGGGGTTCCTTGAACAAGAATTAGAGGAAATTGTGGGGGTACATGAGGGGTACCTCTGTTGTCGGAAATCCCCATGTTAGATACGTCTTCCGATTGTATTGTGCGAACAAGAACGGTCACATTCAATATCCGCGGACTTGAAGAACCCCAAGCGCGATTAACCCTAAACCCTAAACCCTAAACCCAAAACCCAAAACCCTAAACCCTAAACCCCGAACCCCACACCGAAACTAACCCAAGATGCGCAGAAGACTGTGGGCGCCGTGGCCATGGTTGCGAAGTCATAGAACTGCGACGTCGTCTGCGTAACCACATGGCACCCTCCGCACAAGTCGTGAAGCAGCTCCTTGTACCTTCTCGTGGCTACCCAGAGGCTCCTATGTAGTACCTTTTTGGGGTATTATACTAGAATCCCCTATACCTAACCCAAAAAGGAACTACATTGGAGCCTTTGGGTAGACGAAAGGGCTTACACGGGTTCACAGGGCTTATGGGGTTCGTCGGGTGTACTGGGTTTATATGGGGTTCATCTTTTTTGGGGTTTATAAAAGTATAGGGGCTGTTTTTGTTTTTGAAGGGTTTGCAGGCTTTAGGGTTTGGAGTTCAAGGTCCTTGGACCTGTGGACTTCTGAGCTTGTCGCTGTTTCAGTGCTCTGGTGCCTTGTTGGGGGGGGTGGAGGGGGGGTGGGGGGCGGGGGAGTGGAGGGGGGGAGCTTTAGGACATGTCATGTTCCTTCGAACCTTCTGCAAATTCTGTTGGGCTTTGGGATCCTTAGGGCTCACAGGGTTTGAAGCACACCCCCTAAACTCTAAACCCGAAACACTAACCCTAGACAGGCCTGAAACTGGCCCTAAATCCCTAAACCAACGGAAGTCCATGGGGCATGTCTCTGCATCTTTTGGTGATTATGAGAACCCTGACTGGGAGAGAGGGGAGGGGCGGCCCACAACCCAACCTCGGGAACACTTGCAGTTAGGGTTTATAGGGTTTAGGGTTTAGGGTTTAGGGTTTCGGGTTTAGGGTTGGGGGCCCCTAAGCACACTTGAACCCTAGGATTTACGGCGAGTACTTGTGGTTTGCCCGCGCTATTGCTTTCGAGACCCATTGCGACATGCGAAAACGTCGCCCCACAGGACACGCAACTTCATGACGCGAACTCCGGAGTTGGCGACGCGACTGTGCGTATGCGCGATGTGCACCTACGCGCTAGGATCACAAAAACCCTAACCCCTAAACCCTAAAAACCCTAAAAGCCCTAAAAGCCCTAAAAGCCCTAAAAGCCCTAAAAGCCCTAAAAACCCTAAAAATCCTAAAAACCCTAAAAACCCTAAAAACCCTAAACCCTAAAAACCCTAAACCCTAAAACCGCCTAAACCCTCAAAAACCCTAAACCCAAAAACCCTAAAACCCTAAAAAACCCAAAAAACCCAAAAAACCCTAAAACCCTAAACCCTAAACCCTCAAGCCTCAACCCTCAACCCTCAACCCTATAACCCTGGGCAGACCATACGGGCAACCAGTGGGTGTGGGCAAACCAGACGTGCTGCGGGTAGGATTTAGGGTTTAGGGTATTCGGATAGTACCCTCAAAGGCGATGTCTAGGACTGCCTTTAAGTACACTTCGCCTGTCGGAAAAGTTCCCCCCCCCCCCCCCCCTTAAGATCACTTCCAGTGGCATGGCTAAGATTGGTTCCTTGGTAGCCAGGAAACATTTAGGGTTTAGGGTTTATAGGGTTTAGGGTTTGCACGACTTTCTGGGTTGGTTACTTGATAAGGGAAACTTGGGCAAAAAAAAGCAAAGGGGGCAGCGCTAGCCTACCAAGGTTCGTATGGAGGCTCGCCACCTAAACCCTAAACCCTAAACCCTAAACCCTAAACCCTAAACCCTAAACCCTAAACCCTAAACCCTAAACCCTAAACCCTAAACCCTAAACCCTAAACCCTAAACCCTAAACCCTAAACAAAAACACAAAAAGGGCACCACTGGGCTAACAAGGTTCGTGTGCCGGCTCGACAGGCTGGTGGACGATGATGACCTTCTGCGCCGGAGTGTTGGGCATCCTCCCTTCCTCACGGGCTGTTTAGGGTTTAGGGTTTAGGGTTTAGGGTTTAGGGTTTCGGGTTTAGGGTTTAGGGTTTAAGGATTGGGGCCCCCTTACAAAACTAACTATAGTTGAGGGACTTATCACCTAGTTTAAAATACTTATAACCCAATTTAGGGCCCTCATAACTCTGCTTATAACTAGGGGGCCCCTCCTTGTGGGGATTGGGGCCGAGTTCCAGCGGGACCGAGGTTAGCCTTGAATTTGAGCATAACCACACAAGAAGTCCAAACGTATGTCTGCTCGCCACCTGAGCTTCAAAGAAAGATCGCCCCGGCCACGACATCTGCTCATGCTCCAGCTCGAATCTGAGATGCACCAGCACGTCACCAGGGGAATGCCCAGGAAGAGCTGTGTCCTCTTGCTGGCTATAGGCCAGCAGCGCCGACTGAGTTTCGTTGATGATGAGGCCACGGATATGAGTCCATGAGCCCGTGCACATGTGGGGAAACATTGGATTCTCGCGTTTGCACGTTGCCTCGCAGATCTGGTGGAGTGCCTTCCAATCCGTGTATTCCTCAGTAGGAGGTGCCTGCTGCGGCAAGTAACGAAGCCACGTCCCCTGCCACGTGTCGATGTTGCGTGTCTCGAAAGATTTCCCCCAAAGAGCTGCAGTTGCGCGCACTTCCCAAAACTCTGACAGCAAATTGCCCCAAGCATGGGAGACGTAGGCCGTGTAAGCCTCAGCCGTTCTCGACACTTCTGTGGCGGAGGGTGTCTGTCATTTTGCTGTAAACTCTCTAACCCACGCAGATGCACTTCCCCCCTTCCCTCCTTCGAAACCCTGCCTTTGTTATGTTATTACACATATGTAGATAGATATATATATATATATCATGTTCGGATGATGCTATCTTATAACATATTATATTGGATGGCTCTATTGGTACATATATACATATATATACACATGTATATTGCTATGTACTAGAAACATTGGTAGCTTTCACTCTCTCTCTCTCACACACACACACGGCCGCTGCGCTGCGGTAACATCTACAAAACCTAAGCCCTCATAAACCCCATCCTTAAAGAATCTACTTCTTTGCAGGTCCCGAAAGTTACGAAAAGCCTGAGCCCTGAACCCTACCATCCACAAGTGCAGGACAGAAGCGAGCTCATTGCCACTGATTGCGCCTGAAGGTGCTCGCCCCCCCCCCCCCCCCGCCACAAGAGGGAGCGCTCAAGGGTTCAGGGATTCGAATATAGGTTTAGGGTTGAGGGTCTGCTTGGAGGTTCATGTGACTTATTAACCAAGAAATTACTGTACTTATAGCCCACTTACAAGCCCCTTAAGTGCCCTCATAGGGTTATAAGTACAGTTATAAGTAAAGTTAAAAGTACAGTTGTAAGTACAGTTATACTTGGTTAATAAGTACCATGAACCTCCAAGTGGGGTGTGTGAGCTTCAGGCCTCGATAGAGTTCATAGGGTTTGGGGGATTGCTATCTACAGCTTAAGTCAAACTCTCCAGCCTAAAAAACCCTTATGAGAGACCATCGAGGCCATAAATCCCCAAAACAGCCTAACACCCAAAACCCTCACCCTAAACCTAAACCCTATAAACCCTAAACCCTAAACCCTAAGCCCTAAACCCTAAACCCTAAACCCTAAACCCTAAACCCTAAACCCTAAACCCTGGACCCTACAGGCCCGGCGGCCCTAGGGCCACAAAACCCCTAAACGGGCGCGAGCGCCGCGGTCCACAATCACACACTACATGGGCGCTCCAGCCAGTCGGTCTAAGGGGGTTTAGGGTTTAGGGTTTAGGGTTTATAAGGTTTAGGGTTTAGGGTCTAGGGTTTAGGGAGGCCAGCCCACTGGAACCTTAGGAGGGCCTCCCAAAGCACCTCTCCTGGAGGTTTAGGGGGGTTTTGAAAAATTATCCCTGCAGGTTCCCTGAACCCGAAAACCCGAAATCCTAAACCCTAAACCCAGCCTGAATAAGCCTAAACCCTACCCTGGCTGCGCACGCAGTCATGTCCTAACCCCGACAAAGCCTAACGGCCCATCAGATGAACGCCGTAAACCCTGTAAGCCCTAGATTGGGATGTTCCTCTTTATGCTAACGGTCCTTAATAGGGATTATAGTAGGGGGTACTATATTCCCTATTCAGGACTGTTAGTATAAGGGGGAACATCCCAACCCATAAACCCTTCAACCCGACCAACCTGCAGAAACCTTCGAAGCCTCAAGCTGATGACCAACCACGAACGCATCAGGGTGCACAAGAAGATGGGTGTCACAGAGACATGCGATAGGCGTGCTGCTACGAATGCAACTGGACAAATGAAAGCAACCTTGCTCCGCAAATTGTATGATCAGTGTGCTTTGCTCAACAAGCGTGCTGGGAGACCGTTTCACCACTTGGTGCCAACAGAAGATGGCACGAAAGTTCAATGCTCTAGATGTGGTCGGTGCACTCCTCGTGGTGCATTGTCTTTGTGGCGGAATGAGCTCTGTCACTCTGCAGCGGCTGCTTCCTCGAGTGCAAAGTAGGTTTGGGTCATCTCTGGCCCAGGTGGATTTCAGCTGTCAAGGGAGAGGAGCCTGTCTTTTTCTTGACATGGGCTTTTTGCAGGCATTCATTTGGCTACGTATGGCTTTTTCTCTTCTATGAAGGTCACCTATGTGACATCCTCATTTTCGGGAGGAGGCTCCAGTTTGCAATATTGGAGTTTTTCCTTGTCATACAGATCGCCTATGCGATATCTTTCCATGCAGTTCACCTATGTGATGTTTTCATGAGAGGTCTTTGATGCACAGAGTTGCACAAGCAGACCGCGACGAATGTCTATAAGTTGACCACCCCCAAATACCGAATCCTGAACCCCTAAACCCTAAACCCGCAATCCCCTAAACCCTTTAAACCACCTAAACCCCTAAACTTGTAAACCCACAAACCCCAAACCCCAAACCCTAAACCCTAAACCCTAAACCCCAAACCCCAAACCCCAAACCCTAAAACCCTAAACCCTCCGCCTCGATATGTAGAGCAGTGTGGTTCCGTCACTGGCTTCTGCAGAAGTGCGGCAGACTCACACCTCCGAGTTGAAGGTGGTTTAGGGTTTAGGGTTTAGGGTTTAGGGTTTAGGGTTTAGGGTTTGTCCGAGGCAACACATCCTGAAGCAGTTTGCGCCCCCTTATTTGGTACTTGTTTTGTTTGGAATGGGTAAACCCCTCCGCCCCCCTCTACCCGACAGGTGTCGGGAGTGGCCGAGGGAAGGGACGCCAAATCGGCGTCTCCGCCCCCTACACCCATATTCCCCTCCAACCCTACCCCTTCACCCCTGCCGGTGCTCAATTGCTGAATGCCATGTATGCTGTTGGGGAGACGATGCACTTCCTTTTGCGTCCACTCCTTTGTTTCAAGCAAAGCTTGTCGCGCAATCTTGGAAGCGCCATGGCGGTGATGGTTGCCTCTTGGGATGTTCCCCCTTGTACTGACAGTTCTTAATAGGGAGCCTAGCACCCCCCAATTATAGTCCCCCTAAACCCTAAACCCTAAACCCTAAACCCTAAACCCTAAACCCTAAACCCTAAACCCTAAACCCTAAACCGGGAACATCCCAAGTTGTTTCTCTATATCTAAGGACTTGTTCCCCAGTGGGGTGACAGGCCGGGTTCTGCTGGGCAGGCCAAGGCCGAGGCGGGTCGCGCAGCGTTTAAATTATCAAGGTCGTTTAGGGTTTAGGGTTTAGGGTTTAGGGTTTAGGGTTTAGGGTTTAGGGTTTAGGGTTTAGGGTTTAGGGTGGGTCCCTCATTTAGGAGAAACTACCCATGTGTCTAGAGCCTTCGGGGGGTTCAGGGTTGAGGATCCCATAGAGTTTAGGCTTAAGGTTTTAGGGCGTCGGGCTTAGGGCGCTTTAGGGTGTCTAGGGCGTGTATAACCCTTAGGGTCCATGTATCTGAATAGGGAATACTTGGGCCTTAGAAAACCTCCTGTTTTGGGGTTAGGGTTTAGGGTTTAGGGTTTAGGGTTTAGGGATTAGGACTTTAGGGCCCAAGAACATAATAAAGAGGTACATGGATCCTTAGGGCAAGGGTTTGGCGGTTTGAGGTCCGCCGGCTTTGGGGGTTTTGGGTGCGTTCCGGGTCCGCACCGACTGTTTAAGGTTTAGGGTTTAGGGCTTCACGCATGCCCTAAGCTCTAAATCCTAAGCCCCAAGCACCCCTTGGCCCTTGCACCCCATATTGCCCCCTATGCGCGGTCCCCAGCATCGCGCACGCATCCCTGACAGCTTAGCGTATGCTTCAAACCCTATACCCCCTAAACCCTAAACCCTAACCCCTAAACCCTAACCCCTAAACCCTAAACCCTAAACCCTATACTTCCACGTTCCCTCGTCGTTTAGGTTTCTACTAGAACGTTGACAACCTTATACTAACAGTTATACTAGGGGGGCACTGTAGTCCCTATTAAGGACTGCTAGTATAACCGGGGAACATCCCACCTAGAACCCTCCACTGAGGACACGGACGTATAAAACAAACTTAACTTCGGCCCAAGCGCTCTTTAAAAGCGTCCAGCCCCACGAAGAGGAGGACAAAGAAGGCTCCGCAAACAGCAGCGGCCATGGCAGCCGCGCGTACGAGCAGCCCTGCTGCCAACGAGGAACTCACCTAATATAGAGGTCGGAAGAATGACAAAAAATGTGCCTTATGGTTCCTTTGTAATTCTACCACCTTATGGGGGTCTTTATCCTGAAGGAATCCTACTAATTGGGGGGTCTTTATTTGGGGGTCACCTAGTTGCATAGTCTCCCATATAGATCAAGCCATATCGAGCCCACAAAGCGACAAGGTGCGGCCTCCCGCTCTTAGGGTTTAGGGTTTAGGGTTTAGGGTTTAGGGTTTAGGGTTTAGGGTTTAGGGTTTAGGGTTTAGGGTTTAGGGTTTAGGGTTTAGGGTTTAGGCAACTTAGGTTTGCAGTTCATACTTGGAGGTTCATGGTACTTCTGAACCAAAGTATAGCTGCACTTATAACTGTACTTATTAGCATATTCGGGCACTCAGGGTTATAGGTATTCGTAAGTAACCATGAACCTCCAAGTATGCCCTGAAAACGTGCACACTTTCAGTTCAATAGGGGTTTCTCACATCCCCAAAAAGTGTAAAGTGTACTCGTTCAGCTACCAAGATCTGCTGGCGCTCAACAAGGCTGTGGGTTGCGGGGTTTAGGGGTTTGTAGGGCTTGGGGCCGAGGGCTTAGGGTTCAGGGGTTTAGGGCGTAGGTTTAGAGTTGTGGGCTTAAGGTTTAGGGAACCTGCCGAAAATCCTAAACCCTAAAGAGTTGCAACCACCTAGTTGCAAGTGGGGCTTCATCAGGGCACCGGATAACCGAGGTTGCACAACCCCTCGATTAACAAAAGTCAGGGTTGTGGAATGCTGCCTCTGTGTACGAGGCTCTCAACCTTTCTCAAATCTTTCCAGGCTTTGGAATCGTCAGCGGCAACGTTGCGCCGGACGCATTGAATTCAGAGTTGCTGCTCCTGCAGAGCTTGTCTCCGCATGAAGCCGACATCGAAACATCACAGGTAACTACTGTTTGCTTAAGAACCCCCCAAAAAAACAAACAAATGATAATGATCCCTATGTTGCCCTTATAAGGAAGAATCCGTTTTTTTTTTTTTTTTGGGGGGGGGGGGGGGGGGTTCTTAAGCAATTGGTAGGTAGATATGAAGCCAAGAGGGTGCTCAGTTCTCAGGCACCCAGTCAAGAATCTTCTGGACCCATGCGCCTTCAGTCATGTCCTTGGTTGTGCAAAAGGTTCGTAGGGTGAATTGGAGTCAGTGCTATGGGTACAAGGAGGGGCCCCCTAGTAATATGTAAGTAGAGCCATGAGTCATGAGGACCCTTAATTGGGTGATGCGGATCCTAAATTTGGTTATAAGTCCCTTAACTATACTTGGTTTAGTAAGGGGCACCCTCCTTGTAGGTCATTGTAGAACTGCACTTCAATTAAGGAAGAGTACCCGTAATTACTTGGGCTCCCGTCCCCTTCGTGCAGCAAGGGTCCTTTCGCTCTCCATTTCCCAGAGAGTGGCCGCTCACCCAGAAGAAGTCCCGACCGATGTCTGGGCATTGGCCGCCGGCCATAAACTCTCCTGCCAGCACAAAACCCGACACCCCGAAGCAGCCCAAGAAAACTGCCTAAGCCTTACCCTAAAGACCCTTAAACAACCTATCTACGCCCTACCTGAAAGCATATGCCTCCCAAAACCCTAAAATCAATGAGTCGGTGAGAATACTCGAAAACCCTGAACAAACCCCGTCTAAAGCCTACCCAAAGCCTTGATATTTCCACCCCAAAAGAACCCGAAGCTCAATGAGTCGAAGCCTGAGTTTAAGCCTTCTATCCCACCCAGAAGCCATAAAGGTTTCGGGTTTGGGGTTTAGGGTTTAGGGCTTAGGGCTTAGGGCTTAGGGTTTAGTGTTTGGGGTTTAGGATTTCCTGGTCGGTGAAGCCTCAAACGTGAGGCCATGGTGCCGAAAAGCCCTATCGCCTTGACTGAAGTGGTGCCTGATATTCACAAGGCGAGCCCCGCGATCCTCCCTCTTGACGAGAATACCCGAGAACCTGAGGCCTAAACCCTAAACCCTAAACCCCAAACCCTAAACCCCACTTCTTGGATCCTGAAGCCCCAGACTCCCGAAGCTTTTGGCTGCGGAAGGCTGGAAGCTTGTTGTGGCACCCAGGCTTCGTCGAACTTTGAAGCGTTCTTCATGGTGGGAGTTGGAGGGGGCACCCTAAACCCTAAACCCTAAACCCTAAAGCTTGGGTGGGGAAAAGAAACCTATAGCACCCTTGAAAACTTGGCCTGCATCGGAAACATGCCTAGGCCGCCCCCCCCTACAGTGGGGGGTGGGGGGGGCAGCGCCCACCTGGAGGTTCAGGGTGCATAGAACCCCAACTATAGCTGTACTTCTAAGACCCCTAAGTCCTCTGAGTAGGTTCTGAGTGGGTTATCAGTACCCAAGAACCTCCAAGTAAAGCCGACCCGCCTGGGACCCTGAGAACACTGGGGACTCCAAAGTGACGCCTCCCGGCATTTGGAAGTGGGCTGCTGACTTGAGTTTAGACCGAAACCCTAAAAAAGAATAGGTTTGGGTCGCCTCAGACGGCGTGGGTGTCATAAAATGGTTAGATGGCCCTCCACTATCGTGCCATGGCTGCTTTCCGCATTTGACGCAGCTTTCGAAGTCTGCATCCCAACCTTCACAGCTTATGCGCCCGAAGACCCTGAACCCCAAACCTTAAACCCTAAAACCTAAACTCTGAACCCTAAACCCTAAATCCTAAACCCTAAACCCTACCTGCGAGCAACCCCAGCAGCCCCAATGCTCCTGGGAAGTAGATAGTGCCGGGGTTCCCCATGGCTGCCCACAAGCAATAGGTGCTGCTTGCCTAGGGTTCGGGGCGCGTACTCCCATTGTGCATGAACCAGAACGATCATCTTCAGTATCCTGGCCCTAAACCCTAAACCCTAAACCCCAAACCCTAAACCCCAAACCCCACACCGAAACTAACCCGAGATGCGCAAAAGACTGTGGGCGCTGTGGCCATGGTTGCGAAGTCATAGAACTGCGACGTCGTCTGCGTAACCACATGGCACCCTCCGCATACGTCCCGAAGCATGTCCTTGTACCTTTTAAATGACTAGTTACAGTAGGGCTTGAGGTTTGTAGGGGCTATGTAGTAGGGTTTTCTCGGTTTTAGAGGATTATGTTTTATAGGGCTAAGGGTTCGTAGGGTTTTTGTCGGTTTTATAAGATTATGTGTTATTACAGGGTGTACGGTTTGGGGTTCAAGGTCCTGGGGCCCGTGGGCTTAGAGCCTGCAAGAGGTATCGGGCTTAGGGCTTAGGGTTGAGGGTGGGGGGGGGGAGAGTGGTTGAGGTTCAAGGACACGTCATACACCAAATCCCTTCCAACCTTCTGTACAACTTGCTGGGCTTTGGGATCTTTAGGGTCCAGGGTTTGCGGAGTTTTGGGGAGTGCGTGGGGCGTGTCCTCGTATCTTTTGATGATTGGGGTGCTTGCTTCCGAGGCGCTGGTAGGGTGTTGAGGGTTTAGGGTTTAGGGCTTAGGGCTTAGGGTTAGAGTTAGCCCTAAGATCATTCCCAGGGGCATGGCCAAGATTGGTTCCTTGGTAGCACAGGAATCAGATTCTTGTAAGGGCAAACTTTTCGGGGTCGGGTACTTGATCAGCGAACCTTGAAACCAAAACAGAGGGGGGGGGGGGGGCAAAAGGGCACCACTACCACTGGGCTAACAAGGCTCGTATGGAGGCTCGATAGGTTGATGGACGATGATGACCTTCTGAGCCGGATTGCTTGGCAGCCTTCCTTCCTCACAGGCCGTTTCGGGATTGGGGGGGCTGCGTTCTCCATTTCACGGGTTACTAGGGGCTCGCGCCTTTGAGCTTACCCACACAAGAAGTCCAAAAGTACATCTGCTCGACGTCTGAGCTTCAAAGAAAGATCGCCCCGGCCAGGACATCTGTGTATGCCCAAGCTCGAACCGGAGATGCACCAGCACATCGCTCGGGGAGTACGCGCCCGGAAGGGCTTGGCCCTCTTTCTGGCCTTGGTAGCCCAGCAACCATATTATCATAAGGGCACCCTTTTTGGGGCTTGCTTGCTTTTTCATGGGACCATACGTATCATAAGGTCACCTTTTTGGGGTTTGCTTACTTCATGATGGAAGCATGTTATCATGAGGGCACCTTTTCGGGGTTGCTTGCTTTACTATGGAACCTAAACCCTAAACCCTAAACCCTAAACCCTAAACCCTAAACCCTAAACCCTAAACCCTAAACCTTGATCCAAAAAGGGCAGCAAAGGGTACCACGCTGCCACGTGGCTATAGGCCAGCAGCGCCGACTGGGTTTCGTTGATGATTAGGCCACGGATATGAACCTTGGTGGCCCAGGATCATTTTTTTTTTTTTTTGGGGGGGGGGGGGGGGGGGGGGTTAAAGTTTAGGGTTTAGGGTTTGGGGTGTAGGGTAATTGTCACAAGGGCACCCTTTTTGGGGGGGTTGGCACTTTACAAGGGAACCTTGAACCTTTGAGAAGGTACCCTTTTTGGGGGTAGGTTACTTTATAAGGGAACCGTGAACCTTAAGAAGGTACCCTTTTTGGGGGTAGGTTACTTTATAAGGGAACCGTGAACCTTAAGAAGGTACCCTTTTGGGGGGTTGGTTACTTTCTAAGGGAACCTTAAACCTTAAGAAGGTACCCTTTCTTTTTTTGGGGTTGGGGGGGGCTACTTTCTAAGGGAACCTTGAACCTTAAGAAGGTACCCAGTTTGGGGGTTGGTTACTTTCTAAGCGAACCTTGAACAAAACAAAAAGAGGAAAAGGGTACCACTGGGCTAAACCCTAAACCCTAAACCCTAAACCGCCAAGGAACCCAGGAGCCCATGCACTTGTGGGGAAACATCGGAAACTTGTGCAGGCACGATTCCTTTTTAGGGTTTAGGGTTTAGGGTTTAGGGTTTAGGGTTTAGGGTAGCCCAGTAAGCCATATTCCCACAAGGGTACCGTTTTTCGGGGGAGCTGGCTACTTGAAAGAA